TAGCTGCTTCTAGTTGGCGGAATAAGACAGAGAGTTCTTGTCACGGTATCTGGAGGATCCAGAAGACCTAGTCATCTGAGGGTAGGTGGGGAAGGGAAATACTGAAGGCAAACAAAGCTAAAGCCTCATTTATCGTACCAGGAAATCAATAGATAGGGACCAAAATCGATAAATTAGGAAAGAGCAGGGAAAGCATACTTAGAGATATGGAACTATCTACCAGAAGTAATATGTAGAACAGTTAGAAGTGGTTGCCTCTTGTGAGGCGGGAAGCAGGGCCGCCATGTACACTTGTAAAGGATGTTCACTCTAGTTGAGTAGTACACAACCTGTGTGGTCACACACAGTGGACCTAGTAGGGAAGAATATTATTTTTAACCATGTGCTTTAATAAAAGTATTTTTAAAATTGTATATAAATACTATACAGTGGCCCTGGGGGTAGTGGTTCAATGGTAGAATTCTTGCCTTCCATTCAGAGACCTGGGTTCAATCCCCGGCCAGTGTACCTCCAGTGCAGCGCAGCTACCACCTGTCAGTGGAGGCCTGTGTGTTGCTGTGGGGCTGAACAGGCTTCAGTGAAGCTTCTGGACTAAGATGGACTAGGAAGAAAGGCATGGCAATCTACTTCCAAAAAATCAGCCAGTGAAAACCCTATAGAGCACAACAGTCTGAACCCCTGTTGCATGGGGTCGCCATGAGTTGGGGGCTGACTTGATGGCAGCTTACAGTAATACAGTGGTCCTAAGTCCTGGCTGGGACCTTAGCTAAGCTGCCCCATCCCCTCCAAAAGGAGAGGGTTTATAATATCATACAATCCAGAAGACCATGGTGGAGCAATATTTTGGTTTTAGGCACATTTGGATGCAGGGTCTCAAGTGATGTCATCACTGTTCATTTTTCTCTTCATCTCTTGTTCTGCTCTCTACCACATACCTGCTTTGTTCTCTGGTGACCACAGTTCCAGTCTCAACCCTGTCGGATTTATGAAAAAAAAATCTGCTGCCCAGTGACTCCGACTCACGAGGACCCCATGTTTGCAGAGGAGAACTTTGCTCCATAGGGTTTTCAAGGCTGTGATCTCTTGGAAGCAGACCACCACCAGGCCTTTCTTCCGGGGTGCCTCTAGGTGGGTTGGAACCGCCAACCTTTCCGTTAGTACTTGAGCACTTAACTGATTGCGCCACCCAGGCAAGAAAGAGTAACCACCTCTTCCGTTAGCTCAAGCTAAAGCCCCAGGGTTACCATGGGCTGGACCAGATTGGTTTGACTTGTGTCACGTGCCTACTTCTGAACCAATCACTGTGTGTGGGGCCCGAATACTGTGATTGGTGTAGACCCTGGTCATGTGACACACCTCTGGTGTGTGTGGGTGGGTCCTTGCTTCAGCCACATGCCCTGGGAGTGGGGGAGAGGTAGCTCTCCAAACGGAAGTAGGTGTGAGACCAGGTGCCTGATAAAAGTGACCGTGTCCACAGTGGTTGTAGTCGAGGACCGCCTGGGTTCTGCCATGCTGGGTGTATACTAGTGTGTGCACTGACCAGCCGTGTGGACTCTGGGATGCTGGCTTTATGGGGGCGGGGGGGGAATTCCAGCCATTTCTATGGCGGGAGGGTGGCTCCAGGGGTGAGGCCGGGCCCCAAGTAGGGCCGGCAGCCACTGTGGCTTGGCCCGCAGGCCTAGGTCTGGGTATTGCAAGCATAGTTTCCACCACAGCCGCTGCCAGACGAGCTCTTTATAGCAAGACCCAGTGAGAGCAATGGTTCCCGTGGCCAGAGCCTAAAATAACCTGTTCCCTGAGGACCCCTGAGGAAGCTTGGCTTTGCTCCTAACCAGACGTCCAGATCACCAGTCTGCCTGGGACCCAAGGCTCATCCCTCTTTATTTGTGATAATAAAAAATTATGGTGATAATACTAGCTCCTGTTTCTAGGTGCTTACTCAGCCAGCACTGTCACCTGAATGAGGTGGGTCCAGTTATGCAGCCTGGTTTATTGCGAGGAAGCAGAGGCGCAAGAAGTTAAGTCACAGCTAGTAACAGGCAGAGCTGGGGCGTGAGCTCCAGTTGGCTACGGCTCAGAAATATTTCCTCAGGGCGTGTCAGGGACCAGGAGGGGAAGAGGTGCATGCCTAAGTGAGGACAGAGAGAGCCTTCCAAGGGAGAGCCTGATCTCTCAGGAGCTGGGGTCCTACTCCTGGTCTCAAGCCCTCCTGCCCACAGCCTTCTGTGGGCTGAGGGAAGCACAGATTACTGGATGGAGATTCCTAGGGTCTGGTGCTCTCGCTGGGATTGAACAGGCATTGTGGAATGGAGTTACGACCTGATAAGGGCTCCTTGTATGTCTGGGGGCATCCAACATCTCCCAAATACCCGGTCTTAATGGCTAGGTTTTGGCCAAATTAGGACTCTGGATTGAGGCCACAATTTTCCCAGGCCGACCCTGCCTGGGCATAAACTTGTCATAAGGCTGCAACTTTTTGTGATATGGGAGAGAAAGAGCTACTGGACCAGATGGGATTAACAAGTAGTAAAGAAAAAAAATTACAGAGATGGAACATGTTTAGAGTTGAAGTCTGGAGATTGCAGTCCAACACTGTTTTGGTGCCTCATGATGTAAGAGGCCCACACTGTCTGTGGCTCTGTCATCCTTGGCGTACGGCTTTCACCTCATGGTCTGTGATAGCTGCTTGGGCTCCAGTGATCCACCTGCATTCCAGCCAGCAGGAAGGAGGAGGAACAGAAGGACACATCCCATCTGTTCCCTAAGACCCTTCGCTAAAGTTACACACACCACTTCAGCTTATATCTCTTGATTTGTGGACACACTTAACTGCAGAGGAGTCTGGGATATGTAGACTTTATTCTACGTGATCACGTGTTTAGCCCAAAAATAGTGGTTCTGTTATTAAGAAAGAAGGGGGAGAACAGCCATTGGGGAACAGTTAACATGTGCTGCCACAGCTGCTTTAAGAACAAATTTATGACAGTTCAAAAGCCATAAAACAGATACACTCCATTCTGGAATTTGTGTCAGCCACGTATAAGGCACTGCGCCAGGCACTGGGGCAGGCAACGCTACCCAGATCCAGGGCGGATGTAAAGTCTGTGTTGTGGAACGTGGCCTAGGGTTGGGGTTCTGGTCAGCATTCCCCTGTGAACTAACTGTGGAACCCTCGTTGTAAAATGGGGGAGTAGGTGAGGTAACTAAAATGGTCAAGGTCACTAGCAGCAGAGCCAGGATTTGCACCCTGGCACCCCAGCTTTGGAGTCCAGGCTGTGAACCACTGGACCGCATAGTCTGCAAGTCCACAGGCTGAAGCTGTGGTTCTGGCCTTTCCTTTGACCCCCTCCCAGTCCCCAGAGGCTGCTGACCTGGCTGAGCCTGCTGGCAGCTCCAGGCACCACGCCGTCTTGGTCAGCAGGGATTCTGGCCAAAGGCTGACCAGGACAGAGCAGGCACTGGGGCTGGGAGAAACCGAGACGGGGGAGAAGCTGGCACAGGGCCTGGGGAAGATTTTGGTAACAAGGATCAGGTGGCCGGGGCACTGGATTCAGGCCCTTGTCCAAAGAGTAAGAAACAAACTTGGCAGTTGGCAACTAGGGCAGTGATTTGCAAACTGTGAATCGAGAAATCGATGTATGGATGATGCAGTAAAGAAGACAATTAAAAAGAAAGGACATAAGTAGAATAGAAAATAGAGTGCATTGTACAAAGTAAGGCTAAGAACAGCTTCCTGAAAATTTAATTTCTATTGTATAGGTATACTGGCTTAGGATATAAAATATATTTCCTACTGTGATAGCTGTCAAGAAGGTTCCAAAGCCTCAGGTCTAGAAAGCTGCCCCCCGATAGGAAGGGCTATTAAGAATAATTGAAATTATTGCCTTGATCTAAAAAATTTTCTTTAATGTTTTCATTTATTTGCTTACTATTTTCTTGTTGTTGATGCCATTGTAAATGGAATTTTGCTTAATTTCATTTTTTGGATTCTTCATTGCTAGTGTATAGAAATACAACTGATTTTTGTGTATTGGTCTTTTCTCCTGCAATCTTGCTGAAGTCTTTCTTGACTATCTTTGCATAGCCATGGATATCTAGAGCTTCCTGTAATGGTCACACAGTATTTCATAGTGTAGAAATACTGTCATTTATATGACAAGCCTCCTTGAACATCTTGGGCTGTTAGCATTTCTTTTGCTTTTACTGATAGTACTACAGAAAACATTCTTACGGTCATTCATTCATTCCAGGTAAGTGTATTGAGTGCCTGTGCTGTGTCGGGAACTCTTTGAGGCACCAAGGATACAGACAAAAAAAAAAAAAAAAAAAAGGAGATGATTTCATCTGGGGCAGATCACTATGAAGAAAATAAAAGATGATTATGTGCTAAAGAGTGACTGGATGTGTTCGGGGGATTTTTTGGGTAGGGGCTTCAGAAATTCTCTCTGGAAAGGTGACTTTTGAGTTGGCATCCAAACGATGAGAAAGAACACATTAAAGGAAGATTAGGAAGGTTGTTTCCAAGCAAAGGAACAGGCCCTGGGGTAGGAATCAGCTTGACGTGTTCACGGTGTCCCTGGAGAGCAGCCAAGGCCACAGGGCAGGTGGGCAGGGGCCAGATTAATGAGGGCTTGTAGCCTTAATAAGGCATTTGGATTTTATTCCAGAAGTGAAGGGAAGCTGCTGGAGGGTATTAAGCAGGGGAGTGACTTGATCTAGTTTATGTTCTTGAAAGATCACTCTGGGTGCTTAGGAAGCACTTATTTCTTCCTGCCTTGCTCTAACATTTCCAGGCGCTGAGTTCTTAACAGTGGAGTGACTGGGTAGACAAGTTTGTAGATGTAAAACGTTCCGAGATGCTGCCAGCTGCCTCCCCAAAAGATAGCTCTAGTTTTTTTCTGAGGGTGCCGGCTCTTGCTGTTGCCAGTGGCATGCGGGGTGAGGTGCCCAGCAAGCTCTCTTGGCCCTTGTGCCCACTCTTGTCTTTGCTTCCCTTACAGGACCCTCACCGCTGTGTTTGCCTAGTAACACTGGCTGTGCCGCTCACCCCTTGGGTAAAACGGGTACCCCAGAAACATGGCAGATGAAGACCTCATCTTCCGCCTGGAAGGCGTTGATGGTAGCCAGACCTCCCGGGCTGGCCACGATGGCAATTCTGACACAGACAGCGATGATGAGGAAGGTTTCTTTATCTGCCCCATCACTGATGACCCCAGATCTAACCAGAATGCCAATTCCAAGGTTAATAACTACTACAGCAACCTAACAAAAAGTGAGCAGTATGGGTCCAGCGGGTCCCCGGCAAGTTCCTTCCACTTTAAGGTGAGTGGATGGCCTGATCCACCCTCCCCCACATACCCTGGCTTGCTTGCATAGGGGATGGTGATTTCCTTTTGCTAGTTGCTGAGTTGGGGCTCTCCTTGTGTTTCCAAACTCTGGTCAGTGCTATAAATTCTGATCTGAGGGTGTACTTGTTAAGTGGGAGAATTTTGTTGGTTTAAAACTTGTTTCATTACTTTAGGGCAGTGTTTTTCAAATAGCTGCTCGGACCCACTACTAGGCTGTGAAAACCTTTTAGTGGGTTCTGCCCAGCATTTTTTTTTTTTCCCCAGAGAAATGGAAGAGAATAGAATAAAAAATATCAGACAGCATTACAAGTGGTAAAGATCTTACTCCTTGAACATATATACACACATATTCACGTACACATAAACTTGTTGAATATATCATTTGCTCATCGCTCGCATCCCAGCATTTTTTTTAAAGAATAGAAAATGTTGGTGAGCATTCAAATTGTTGTTGTTGTCAGTTGCTGTCTAGTCGGCTCCGACTCACGGCCACCTTACGTATAACAGAACAGAAGGTTGCCCAGTCCCGGGCCATCTTCGTGATCACTGGATCCACTGTTGCGGCTATTGTGTCGGTCCGTCTCATTGAGTTTCCCTCTTTTCGCCCAGCCTTCACTTTACCAAACATGATGTCCTCTAGAGATTGGTCTTTCCTGATGACGTGCCCAGAGTCAACAAGTGAAGTGCCCCCATCCTTGCTTCTAAGGAGCATTCTGGTTCTAAATAGTAAAGTTTTTATTTCTTGAAACATCTATGTACGTACGCGTTTACACACACATAAACGTGGTGACCCTTTCGGTTGCTGACATCTCATGATGTCCCGGTTGTTAAATATTTTGCTGTTATCCCTGCCTATATGGGTATATGAGCACAGGAACGTGATGTAAAATGTAGTTCTTCGTGTTGGTCATGGTCAAAAAAGCCAGGTTAGAGTTGGATATCCTTCTTTTGGGTTGAGGAAAAGGGTACATACTTCCTTAGGGATTTACATCCACACCATCAGCATTCATTTCCTAGGGCCACAAAGTAGGCAGCTTTTAAACAGAAATGTATTGTCTCAGAGTTCTGGAGGCTAGAAGTCCAGGCCAAGGTGTCAACAGGGTCATATTCTCTCTGAAGGCTTTGGTAGAAGATCCCTTCTTATCTCTCCAGTTTCTGGAAGCCTCAGGCATTTCTTGGCTTACAGCTGCCACATAACTCCTACACTACCTCTGTCTCCAGAAGGCTGTCTTCCCTCTGTTCTGTCTCTTGTGTGTCTCCTCTTTTATAAGCACTCCACTCAGGTTGGATTAGAACCCACCCTACTCCAGTAGGACCTCATGTTAGCTGATAACATCTTCAAAGACCCTATTTCCAAACAAAGTCACATTCACAGATACCAGGGATTACAGCTTCAAGATATCTTTTTGTGGGGGGCACAATTCAATCTGTAAGACCGTGGCAAAGCTAGTTTAAAGGAGAGGAGAAAAGCTGAACATTACTGGACTTTTGTATAATAAAAAACCCAATGCCATCGAGTCGATTCTAACTCATAGCGACCCTATAGGACAGAGTAGAACTGCCCCCATAGTGTTCCCAAGGAGCGGCTGGTGGATTTGAACTGCCAACCTTTTGGTTAGCAGCCAAGCTCTTAACCACTGTGCCACCAGGGCTCCTTTGTATAATAACTGGTGGGGGGAGAATTAAAAATACAATACTGTTATCCTTATTTAATTTAATCCTCAGGAAAAATAGGCATCTGTTAGTACCGTAAGCAAAATGCCTATTACTACTCTGGGGTTTGAAATTAAAAACACTCTTCTGTAACTTCAGACTTAATCAGTATTTAACAAATTAATAATTCCAGTTCTTATAGACAGTTGGAATCCTGGTGGCGCAGTGGTTAAGAGCTCAGGCTGCTAACTAAAAGGTCGGCAGTTCGCATCCACCAGCTGCTCCTTGGAAACCCTATGGGGCAGCTCTGCTCTGTCCTGTAGGGTTGCTGTGAGTCGGAATCAACTCAACGGCAACAGGTTTTTATAGACATTTGGGTATTTTTTCCTTTCCAGGGCCAGAGTTTTAGTTTAAGTCACTCTGGGGCAGGGAGCTCCAGAAGGAGCCCTTGTGGGTCCCCTCTGAGGTTGGGGCCCCTGCAGAGTCAAGCTGAGGCTTACCCCACTTTGCTGTTGTAAGGCAGCTTCTGAAATGCATGCCCAGCCCCAGGGAGGCAGTGTGTGGAGGCGGGAGAGCGGCCTGGCCTCCTGTCTGTTCATTTGAGGTCCTGAAGGTTCAAGGAAAAGCTGATCCCTGTGAGGTTGGATGTCATGTGTGAGGGAATCCAGGTGCCGTCGGGGGAAGGGGGTGGGAGTCAGGGCCCAGGAAATAGAAACCAGCTCACACCAGCTCAAGGGGAAATGGGGATTTACTCTAACAACCCAAGGGTGTTTCTTGGAACCCAGTGTCTGATCTCTCAAGGGACAGATCCAAGAACCCGGAAGGCAACAGGGTTGTTTCTCTTGTTTCTTACTCTTTTTTTGTTTTTAGCTGCCATTGAGTCGGCCTCTGACTCATGGTGATCCCATGCACAACTGAACGAAATGTTACCTGGTTCTCTGCCATCCCCATGATTGTTTGTGGAGCAAGCCATTGTGATCCATGGGGTTGTCAGTGGCTAATTTTCACAAGTAGATCGCCAGGCTTTTCCTCCTAGTTCGTCTTAGTTTGGAAGCTTTCCTGAAACCTGTTCAGCATCATGGCGACAGGCAAGCCTCCACTTACGGGTGAGTAGTGGCTGTGCATGAGGTGCATCAACCGGGAGTCGAACCTGGGTCTCCCACATGGAGGGTGAGAATTCTACCATTGAACCACTACTGTCCCCATCAATCTCTCGTCACCTATCCTTTATTCTTCTCTGCCCCTCAGTCTATACAGTGGGAATATGGACCTTCTCAGCCCCTCATTACAGATGGGCCACAGGCAAAGACAGATTTGGCCCCTTCCATCTCAGTTCCAGGGGAAGAAATTCTGATTGACTCAGCCGGGGTCAGGGATCCATCTCTGGTTCAGACAGCTCCAGCCAGGGCCTGGGGTCCCAGGGGAGGGGCTGCTTCCAGGGCAGGAGGATCCTGGTGGCTTGGAGATGAGCAGACCCTTCAGTGCTTATTCAGAGGAATGGTAAGCCCAGCCGGAGCCTTTTGGCACACACTGACTGACCTCAGGAGGTGAATGGGACTCAGACATGGGCTGGACACATCCCTGACGGGAAAGCTTCTGGACCAGAACAGAGAATGACTCACATTCACAGGTAGTTATGAGGTAGAGTATAGGGAGGCCTTTGAAAGAGGCACAGACCAAGGTATCCAGCCCAAAGAGGTTTGTCTCTAGGGCACAGACCCTGTGGGCTGTTTATCACTATATTCCTTATGTCTGGAACTGTGCTGGGCACATAGTAGGAGCTTCATTTGGAATCAGTGATGGGATGGATGAATGTTGAACTCCTTACTTCACTGTGGATACTATGTCTCTTAAAAAAAAAAAAAATCCTGTTGCCATGGAATCGATTTCTACTCATAGCAACCCTATAAGACAGAGTAGAACTGTCCCATAGGGTTTCCAAGGAGTGGCTGGTGGATTCGAACTGCTAACCAAAAGGTGCTTAACCACTGCGCCACCAGGGCTCCATATCTCTAAAGGACAGATATATTTATGCCATGCTCTGCTTGTAAAACTCGGGGAGCCATTTGACAAAAATAAAAATATTTATATCTTCAGACAGCAGTTCCATTTCCAGGGATCATCCTCAGCCAAAGTGTTCCCAGTGAGGGGTGTGATTGGCATTTTGGGAGGGACCATTCTTTAGTGGGTGAGACTGTCACTTACATTGTAGGATATTCAGCATGCTTGGCCCCTGCTCACCAGATGCTGTATTGCCCCCCATTCGTTATGGCAACTCAAAATGCTCCATCCATATATTTGCAAAGTTCCCTGAGGGGGCATGCATGTCCAGTCCCCAGTTCAGAACAGAAATGTTTGCACAAGTGCTCAAATTTATGTATTCAGAGATACACTTTGCAATATTGTTTGTAATAAAGAAACAAATGGAAATAACTCAGGTGTTCATCAAGAAAAGCCTATTTAAATTATAAACCCTGAGCCTAACAGAATACTGTGTTTACATTAAAATGAGGATGATGTTTCTATATGATTTGACTTGCAACAGTACAGATGTGTGTGTGTGTGTGTGTGTGTGTGTGTGTGTGTGTGTACCCACTGCTGTTGAGTCTATTTTGACTCATAGCGACCCCATAGGGTTTCCAAGGCTGAAAATCTTCCCAGAAGCTGACTGCCACATCTTTCTCCTGTGGAGCTGCTGGTGGTTTCAAACAACTGACCTTTTGGTTAGCAGTCAGTTGCTTTAACCACACCACCAGGGCTCCATATATGTATGCATGTATGTATATATATATATACACATGTATGTGTGTGTGTGTGTGTATATATATATACGTTTACATATACATGTATATATAGATGTGTATGTGTATATATATACGTACACACATGCATACAGGCAGTCCCCAGGTTATGAACATCTGACTTATGGATGACCTGTACTTGCCCTTTAATGTTATGTAGATTTGCCCTCGCTTTGAAACCATTGAACTAACCCCTACTCCCAACAAATCTTCATCACAATCACCTAATCATTGAGACGGCTTGCACTAAAGCAAGGCCACATAAGTACTGTATGCATCTGTTCCGACTTACCTACAAATTCAGCTTAAAGACTTAAAGGCACAGTTAGGAACGGATCTTGTTCCTAACCCGGGGACTGCCTGTATATGTATGTGTGTGTGTGTGTGTATATATGTATGTAAACCAACCAAACCTGTTAACGTCAAGTCGATTCTGACTCACAGTGACCCTATAGGACAGAGTAGAACTGCCACATAGGATTTCCAAGGAGTGGCTGGTAGATTCGAACTGCCGACCTTT